CATTATACCGTGAAAGAATCCTTTTACCTGTCAGACATCCCACTTTAAAGCTTTATCCGCAGGAGACTTCTGGTGGAAAACGATTCTGGTGGGAACGGGTGCGAGGCTGCCGCTGAGGTGCAGATGTGGCGGCTGCGGGGACACCTTGAAGGTGAGCGGTTCCAGAGGGGACCGTGCCTCACGGGCCAGCAGGGGGCCGGGCAGCTACGTTCCCGGACAGGTCCCTGCGCTGCGTGGGTGGGCAGGGCGTGGCCTTGCCCGGCACTGAGAAGTGACTGTGGGACAGGGGACGAGAAATCACCAACTTTTAGTGACGGTGCAGTGCAGTGGGCAGGCTAGACTGGAATGTGGCGGAGCCCTGCATTTAAAAAAAAATCACCCAGCCCCGCGATTGCCCCCCATCCCCAGAACTGTGCCCAGAAAGGGCAGCGGAGGCGCCCGGGAAGCTTCTTGGGGCGTTGGCCCTGCGTTGGCCCAGTACTTGTTGGCTCAGGGCGCTGCTGGAGGGGGAGCCAAAGGTGAACCCAGTGCGGGCTCTGCTCCAAGGCCCTGCCCGCCCAGTACCGAGAAGATCGAGCCCCGCCCCGGCCCGCGCCCAGAGTCAGGCTCGTTAACCAGCGGGAGCTCCGTGGACCTGCAGCTGGGCCCCGCCGCCCGCTCTGCTCAGGCGGGACTCAGCGACCAGCAGCCCCAGCGACTTCCTCTCCCCAGGACAGAGAAGTCAGACTTTCACAACATCCTCAGATTCCAGGAGAAACGGTGTCTGGAAGACACCTGAAGCACACTGTAGTTGTAACACTTGATTTAACTGCAACCCCGTGTTTCCAGAGTGTTGCCCTGTCTGTCCTGCGTTCAGTACTGAGATCCAACCCCTTCCAGTGAAATAAAACGCGCTCTGCCCGCAATTCCCGTTGTCATTCCACAGGATCCGCCCAATGACAGGACCACCGATGCATTTTTGTAAGAAAATCCTCAAAAACTTAAGTGCAAACGTTACGTCTCTCCTTTCTCTTCATGCCATTTGTTTTCGTCACCTGTTGCACTGAAAGGTGGTTCATAGAGCATTCCCCAAATTAAAAATAACGTTTAAAAAAATAAATGTTTCACCTGAGGGGCAGGGGTTGACCATCCTTCTTTTTGTGGGGGCTGCAGCTAAACCTCAGCTGGGACTCAAAACTGCCCCCACCCCACACTGACAGTTGCAGACCGGAAAAGGAAACCTGTTGCATTTGTTCCATTGTTTATTTTTAAAAAAATTTTTTTTATCCTTACCTGAGGACATTTTTCCATTTTTTGTTCAGATAGAGTGGGAGGGAGAGAGAGAGAGAAACATTGACATAAAAGGGACACATCAAGTGGGACAAACTGCAAACGAGGTACATGCCCTTAGCGGGAACCGAACCCGGTTCTCTCTGGACCACAGGCTGACACTCTAACCGCTGAGCCAAATTGGCCAGGGTTTGATCCATTGTTTCTAACCAGTTCTCATCGCCTCCAGAGATTCTTCTCCTTGAGTCTAAGCCTTTCCTGTAACTATAAACCAAGAGTTTTAAACAACTTGAATTCGTAAAACTTCAGGCCCAGGCTGGGCCGGCTTTGCTCAGTGGTTAGAGCATTGGCCTGTGCACTGGAGGGTTGTGGGTCTGATTCTCGGTCAAGGGCATGTACCTGGGTTTTGGGTTCCATCTCCGCCCTGGTTGGGGCACCTGCGGAGGCAGCCAATCTCACTTCGATGTTTCTCTCTCTCCCCTTCCTCCCTCCCTTCCACTCCCTCTTAAAGTCCTTGGAAAAAATATCCTCTGGTGAGGATTAACAAAAAAAACCCCAAACTTCAGGACCATACAGAACCCCTTTTCTTTTTATTCTTTCTTCCCAAATTCACACATTTATTGCAAAAGATGAAAACATAAAGTCTCTCTGTGTCTAAACTGAACTTTGCTTTCAATTAAATATCTGTAACTGTTTTTATGCAAGTTGCTCCAAATAAGCAGTTATTTTTGGCTCTGAAGTCTCTAAGCATTTTTTTTTTTTTTTACTCAATAATGGATGATCTATTTTCATGAATCTTAGCTCTCCAATGATTTTGCTCCATGGAGGGCAGGTTTCTAATTCTTACCGGGAAGGACAGATTCCTATGGGTTCGCACGCAGCATCCTTCCCACTCTTTCTCCTGTGTGCAGAATTAGACAAAAACGTGTTCCAGGGTGCCCTGGGCTCCGGAGGGAATTGAGCAAATGAGCTTCTTCAGGTGCACTCCTAAGAGCTTTGGAAGGCAGAGTGGGGTGACAGCCATGTTTCTGCGGTTTCCCCTGCTTCTGCTAGGGAAAGTAACATGGCCCTGCAGGTGCTGGGTTCTTCTGTGCCGGATGTCGGGATCTGGTCGCCAATCTCATGAGTCTCATGAGTCTTTGCCAGCACAGACAAGCAGGCGTGTCTGGAGCCGGAGCTCACGGCTGGGCTGGGGAGGGTCCTAGATGGCAGCAAGGTGGTGGGTGTGTCCTTGCAGCCAGCAACCCTGGGGGTGGCTTCCTGGTGCCCCAGCTTCCGGACTGCGGTACAAGCCGTAGCTCTGTGGTGGTTCTAGAAGTGACAGTGGAAATAGCCCGGTGTACAACAGTACCTCTGGTCATTTCGAAGCTCTGAGTTCCCTGTACTCAGTCCTGTCCCCTGTGGCCATCTGGAAGGGCACACAGGCTAAGGAGAGGAAAGTTAGAGATGAACCACAGGACTGATGGCGAGGAGGAGGGAGTAGGTGATGGGGAACATTTGCTGGGCCATGGCTAGTAGAACAGGAGAGCGTTCCGGTGGGGGCTGCTGAGGAACCCAGGAAAGTGCCAGCTCCAAACACCTGCCAGGCCCAGAGGGTGATCCTGGGACAGTCCCGGGGAAGAAAGAACTTTTCAGCCCTCCTGTTTGTTTTGGCCTCAGAAGGGCCAGAAAGCAATCTGGGAGCTTGGGAGCTGAGACACATCATGGGGGAGAACAGAAGAGAAACCTGTGGCTTCCCCACCTCCCTTACACACACACTCACATATGCACACAAACACACACAAGCATATACATTCACACGCACACACAAGCACACTCACACACATACACACCCACACACTCCACAGCAGGTGCTGCCTGAGGGAAGAGAGACGATTAACTTGGAATCAAGTTCAAGGCTCTGAGTAGTACATGGAATTGAATAGTGTAAGATTTACAGTTACATAAGTTGAGACCATGTTCGCAACTTGGAAATGTTTGATGACTACTGTGTGATCAGAAAAGTCATCGGACCGCCTGCATTTTCCCCCAGGAGCACAGGAAGCGTTCCCCACACTGAGTAACTTCTAAAGAGACAGTGAAAAGCAACCTGAAGATGGTTTCTGATTACATCTCCTGAGTCCTTGCTTGCCGGTTATAGAGATTTGATCTGGGGATCAATTTTCAGTTGCTTTAGTGTTTTGCTTTTAACAGGCAAGTTAAATGTTGTGATATTTGAAGAATATTTTGTATAGACAAAAACTCATGAGTATTTCACCTTTGTCTTCATTTCATATGCAGTCAAGTGGGGGGGGGGGTCTCTGAAGTCAGTTTTGTTCACAGAAAAAGGGCCATTAGGGTTTGCTTTCATCTATAAATTAATAATTACTTTAGTAAAGTCACAAATCTATAAATGTACCTTCCAATAACCTTTTAAATTCAACTTGTATATTATTATGTTTACAAACCTAATAAAATTTAACAATCACTATTAGGGTTTTTTTTTTTACCATTCATTTATTTTAATTATCTTAAACATTTTTTTCTTTTTCTTTTTTTATTGATTTTAGAGAGAGAGGAAGGGAAAGGGAGAGAGAGAGAGAAACATCGATGAGAGAGAACATCAATGAGAGAGAACATCGATTGGTTTCCTTCTGCATGCCCCCCACTGGGGATCTGGCCCACAACCTGGGCATGTGCCCTGATGGGGAATCGAACCGGCACCTCTGGTGCGTGTGTCGACGCTCAACAGCTGAGCCACGTGGGCCGGACTATCTTAAACATTTTAAGTGACTTCTGCAAACCTAATATATTTGATTTTCTCTGTAGGTGCTTCAACTATGTACATGACTAATTCATATATAGTAAATTAAACTAAGTTTTGCATTCCTTTCTATTTAACTTATATGTCTAAATCAATTACTTGATTACACATTTTAAGTTGGAATCACAAAAGTAGTTTTGAATATTCTAATATGCTAAATTATAAATGTTCCATGCATTTACAGCAATATATCCAGATCATTGTTAAATGCACCACACACTTGAATAACATTCCAAGAATTTAAGATATTTGCCCGCATAAGAAAATCAAGCTTCCGAACAGGTTGAGGTCACAGGCATTGAGATTACACTGAGCATCGCGATTTCACTGATGACATATGCCCTATGCTTGCACCAGAGTTTAGCTACCTCACCCCCCTTGGTCTGCTCCACTTTGCCCCGGAGTCAGACTGTGATCAACACCTGGACACGCTGCTCTGCCTTCTGAGTACTTAGGAGAAGCGCCTAAAAGGTATGAACGTTTTCCAGGCCTCTTGATCACTCCGTCCTGGTTGCCTTCCCAAAGCGTGACCCCAGTGTGCGCCCATGAATACTGCACTGTCAGGACCCTGGCCGTCCGTTTCCCAGCCCTGAGTAGAATCGTTTTTACTACTGTCATCGTCCTGCCAGGTTGCACGTGGGCAGAGGAAGTCTCATCATTCGAAGTGCATTTATTTCGTGGCAAGTGCGGTGGAACGTGGGTGTCCCCCGCGCCGTGGCCGGTGGAGGTGCGGGTGGGCTGAGCGCGCTGGTCGGCCCAGGCCAGGCCGGTGCAGCCGCTGCAACCCCGGGCCCCACGGCCAGGGGGCGCTGCGACCTCAAGCCCCCGCCGGCCGGACGGGGCGGGCTGCGGGGTGGTGCCGCGGGCGGGGCGGGGAGCAAAGGTTGGCGCGTCCACACCCGGACCTTCGCGGAGGGGCCGCGGCATCATGACGGTGGGAGCCAGGCTCCGGAGCAAGGTGGCGAGCGGCCTCCCGCGCCGCGGGGCCCGGGGGCGGGGGCGGCGGGCGGGGGACGAGGAGGCCAACGCCATCCTGGAGCACCTGGAGCTGGACGACGCGGCGGCCGAGGGCGCGGCCGGCGCGGGGCGCCCGGGGGCCCGGAGCGCGCGGCGGGTGCACCTGGCCGCCCTGCCCGAGCACTACGAGCCGCTGGAGGAGCCGGCGCCCGGCGACAAGCCCAAGAAGAAGCACCGGCAGAAGCTGAAGAAGTACGGCAAGGTAGGCCCGCCACTGCCCGGGGCGCCGGGTGCGGGGCGCCCACCCCGGCTTCCAGCTGACCCGATGCGAAGCTGGAGTCCGGTCCCCGCCATGTGACGGCGCTCAGCCTCTCTGGGCTCCCCGGGCCCCCTGCAGCCCCCACGGCCACCCTCTCTCCAGCATTCGTGAGCTGGGAAGTGAGGGGAAAGTCTCAAGTAACGACAGAAACTGAAGCAGAGGTGTCACTGGGCACCCGTGTACTTGCTACCCCGCCGCCGGCTGGCTAATGCCAGCCCCGAGGGTCGCTTAGCCAGCTGGTTCTTATTCCAGATGCGTCTGACACTCCCTTGGGTGGTGTGCAGGGCAGAAGTCGGCGTCCCCTTTTACAGGTGGGAATACTGAGGCATGGGCGGGGCTCGTAGAAAGTGACTCAGTTAGAAGGTATTGAGTTGCAGCTCGGTTTATCTGTTCCTGGAAATATCTCCTCCGGGATATCCCACAGCTGAGAATTGTTTGAGTCATTGCCCCAAATATTCCCAAGGTTATGTCAAGGGCCCAGGAGCTGGACAAATTCCCAAAGATGCACAGTTATCTGTGTGCTCTGGGGCCTGTACACTGCCAATTACCTGGGGTAGGAGTGGGGGGTGGAGAGGCAGAGAGAAGAAGAAAGAATGGATATGAATTTGGGATAAAAGGACAGTTTCTGTCTGGAGGTCAGCCTGGAAGCAACAGCTGCCCTTGCTCCCTGGGGCTGGACACCACAGCCCAGAAGAAAATCTCAAATTAATGGCATCGTGGCCAAAGGCCTCATCTGATTTATTGTCCAGGGATCTGTGTCCTCCAGTGGCCCTTATCATACCTGAAAGCAGCCAGTCTCCATACTTAGGTTCATCATCCTCTCTGAAGGCACGTCAGCAGCTTTGGGAGCAGTATACAAGCAGGCAGTTGTAAAACAACAATAAAAACGATAAAGCTGGGACTTGCAGGCTCAGGGTCGTGCTAGGACTCATCATCTCCTCCTGGCTCCAGCTGAGCACAAAGAAGCCATCATTCGCCTCTCAGCAAATTGTGAACTGATGATGTGGAAATCTCAGCTCAGAGCTGGCTCAGAAGATGTTTTGGGGTTTGGACTATGTGCCAGGCACTGTGCTAAGCACTAGAGAGAAAAATGGGTACGATGCAGCCCGGCCTGGAGAAGCCCACCTCTCTAGGCACAGCTGGGGCCGAGTGGTTCCGACCCAGGCAGAGTTCTCAGGGGTGAGGCTGTAAAGTCAGGGATGTTTTCAAATCCAGGATGATGTGGAGACTGGGCACAGAAGGGTGAGTTAAGGTTTCACAGGTTAACAATGAGGTACTACTTCACACCCACTAGGATGGTTAGCATCATCAACACACACACATGCACACACAACACAGAAAATAGCAAGGGTTGGCCTGGATGTGGAGAAGAATTTTTGTGAATTGCTGGTGGGAATATGAAATGGTGCAGATGGTGAGGAAAACAATTTGGCAGTTCCTCAGAAAATAAAATACAGATCTGCCTATGATCCAGTAATTCCATGCCTAGGTATATACCCCAAAGAACTGAAAACAGGTGTACACACACACACACACACACACACACACATTCATAGCAACATTATTGACAATAGCCAAAAGGTAAAAACAACCCAAATGTTCATCAACTGATAAATGAATAAACAAAATGTGATACATACATACGATGGAATATTATTCGTCCTTAAGAAGAATGAAATACCGATACATGCTATTAACACAGATGAACCTCTGAAACCTTACACTAAGTGAAAGAAGCCAGACTTACAAGGTCACATATTGTATGTATGTATAATTCTATTTCTATAAAAGATCCAGAAGAAGTAAATCCAGAGAGACACGGAAGAGGTGTGGGTAAGGAAAGTAAATTTTGATCATAGAGCAGCTAGGCAAGAGTTGGAGAAAGGACACAGGGTGTGGAATAAACTTTAGCTCAAGGGGGAGACAAATCTCACCATGTTCTAAGCAGTGGATAAGAATATGGGCAGGGGAGCCAGACTGCCCGGCCACCTATTGGTTGTGTGATCTCGGGCTATGCGCACCTCCTTCTGCCTCGGTTTCCCCATCTGTCCCATGGACTAACATTAGGGTTGCGGTAAGGGGTAAATGAGTGAACGCACACACAGGTCATGTGGCATGTGTCAAGGGCTTTGTAACTGGGGCTCAGGAGGTGGAGGAGAGGCCCCATGTTTCCTTTCTGATGACTTTTTAATGAGCTCTAATTTAAAAACTCAGCCCCTGTAGCTGACTGTCCACCTCAGCTCTATACCTGCGTCCTGGCAGAATGTCACAATGGAAGGTTCATCTTTATACTCAGGGGAAAGTGAGCTTTGATGAGAGATGGTTCCCTTGCTGAAACTGGGAGGGGGAGGCAGGGGGTCCCGACATCACTGGGGGTCCTGACGCACTGGGGGTCAGCTGAGTCCCGAGGAACCCCAAGAAGCCTCACTCCTTGTGTTGGTTTCCTGTGACAGCCGGGACAAATGCCCACAAGTGGAGTGGTTTAAGACAACACACATTTATCCTCCACAGTTCAGCAGCGCAGAAGTCCAAAATCAGTCCCCCTGAGTTACAGCCATCAGTTCCTTCTGGAAGCTTCAGGGAACAACCCATTGCTCTTTCCAGCTCCAGAGGTCCCCTTTCTCCATCATCACAGCCAGTAGCATCTGCAAACCTCTTTCTTTCTCTCCCTCTGCTCCCATCTGCCTCCTCCTGCACCCCTCTTCTGAGGACTGTGGTCCTTGCGTGGAGTTTTATAAGGATATAAGGATTCTTCTAATGACTGGGCCCACCTGGATAACCTAGATAATCTCCTATCTCAAGACCCTTAATTTAATTACATCTACAAAGTCCCTTTATGTTTTGAAAAAGTTGTTTTATTGATTTTTAGAGGAGGGAATGGAGAGGGAGAAAGAGAGAGAAACACTGATGTGAGAGAGAAACATCTATCGGCTGCCTTCTGCATACCCCCAACCAGGGATCAAGCCCACAACCTAGGCATGTGTCCTGACTGGGAATTGAACTGGCAACTTTTCAGTGCACAGGACGATGCCCAACTGAGCCACACTGGCCAGGGCTGCAAAGTCCCTTGATTCTGGGGATTAGGACGTGGACATCTTGGGGGGCATTATTCAACCGGCCACACTCTCCCATGTTCCCCCACATCCCTCCACCCCTCAGACAGATTATTTGGGTCAAAAGCTCCACTGAGATCAAAGACTTCCAGATCTCTCTCTCGAATGACACAGAATTGACCATTGTTGGATGTTTCCATGTCTTTGTCTCTCGTTCTCTCAAATCTGTACTTTGACAGTGTTCCCGCTAATGAGCTATTTTAGTAGCGTTTTGTCTTTCTTTCTACATTGCAACGATGAAGTGACAGGCAGCTTTTTCAGAACAGCAGGCTGAGGCACTTGGAGGTACAAGCGCCCCAAAGGTCGGGTTGAGTGCAGCCCTCTGGGATCAGGGCAGCCCTGCTCATGAAGGATGCTCTTGACTGTGAGACTCGCTCCCCAAGGACAGTTTTGTCATTCTTGCAAGTAAAATTCTCCCACTGAATCTTATTACACATGTGTAGAGATGTGCCGCTCAGCAACATCACGCTGAAAACACACACACGCACACACACGCACACGCAGGTGCCTGCACCCCGCCGTCTCATTGAGAAGTCAACTTGGCAGTGTCGCAGGGATCCGTGACTAGAGAGCTATCGATGTGACCTGGCTCAGCCAAAGCTCTTCTTCGGCCTCAGGGTGATAAAGGACACCCCCAGGCCCTTTCTGAGTGCTGTTGGTCCAGTGTCAAGTCCCCTCCCTCATTCTGTTGTTATGAGAGTGATCCTAGGAACGTCTCCTCTTCAGAAACTTTCTTGAACGGGGAACAAAACACCGTAGATTTACATGTTACCACCACGAACCTACAGTACTATGGACTAAAAAGAGGCCAATGTCATTTTACAGCAGAATAACTGCCTACAGCTGTGCCAGGCACTGTCCTTCGTGCCTTCATTGTATAAACGCATTTAATTCTCCTAACAACCCACGAGGTGGTTACTACACATTCCCATTTTACGGGAGCAAACTGAGGCCAAGCAGAGCAAAGCGGTGATGGAGCTGGAGCGTAAGCCCAGACCGCAAGCAGTTGGTTGCCAGGCTGCAGCCTGCCTTCATTAGGGAGAGTGTAGGCAGGGCAGGGAGGACCGGGCCCTGAGACGCGGTGTCTTTGGTTTCTTCGGGGTTGAACGTCAGCTCCACCTCTTGCCAGCTGTGTATCCACAGACACATCTTTTTTTATTTTTTTTTATTTTTTAAATCCTCACCTGAGGGTATTTTTCCATTTATCTTCAGATAGAGTGGGAGGTGGGGGCGGGGGGAGAGAAACATCGATGTGAGAGAGACATCGATGGGTTGCCTCCTGCACGACCCCGACCAGGGCTGGGGACCAAACCGCAACCGAGGTCCGTGCCCTTGACCACAGTCAAACCCGGGACTCTTTGGTTCGCAGGCCAATGCTCTAACCGCTGAACCAATCCAGCCGGGACTATCCACAGATACACTTAACTCCTCTGCAGGTCTTCCTGTTGGAGCCCGATGGCCAGGGCCCCAGGAACAGACTGTAGCCTTCCCACGTCAGCGTTATTTGCCCCGTGCAGCAGGGGGATGTGCCAGAACATGCATGAGGTCGCACAAAGTGGACGCCCCACGCAGAGAGCTGAGTAGTTGAGTCTGAGCCAAAGGTGTGAATTGGGGAGTCATCAGCATTCAGGAAATACTTGTCACTGCAAACGGATGAGACCACCTAGGGAGAGATTACTGGCCAGTAAGGAAAGAAAAAAAGAAGAGAGGGAGGAAGGGAGGGGGCCTGGGACTGAGTTTGGAAGAAACTCAGTTTTAGTTTCTTCCATTTTAGTTTGGAAGGAAGGATAATGTAGTAAAGAAGACTGAGGACCAGCTGCCTGGGAGGTGGGGGAAACCAAGAGAATATGACATCGAAGAGGCCAGTGGCGGTGTCACGAGGCGTGTCCAAAGCTGCTGAGAGGCGGGGGAGGAAGGCAGACAGGAGTCGCCGGACCAGGCAGCGTGGCGGGTCAGCCACGGTCCAGCAGTCCTGGTGGGCTGAGTAGGAGGCCGGAGCAGAGACGGTAGGTGGGACCGCTCTGCCTGTGGGCTCGGTGTGAAGGAAAGAGGAGACCTGGGCAGGACCCCGGGAAGGATGTGGAGCAAGGTGATACCCAAGCGTCTGCATCAGCTAATGGGAGCAGGAGAGGACAGTTCTGAAGAGCGGAGAGCCAGTGCCTAGGTGACAGGGCAGTGACAGCAGGTGTCACAGGAATGGCCTCGGGGGAACAGGCCATTGTCTGCCCTGGCACACGGGGGAGATGGGAGAAGCTGGGTCAGCGGGAGCTTGTAGACAGTGATAGGAAGCTAAGTGGGGTCCCTCATGACTTCTGACCTTCCCGGTGAAAGCTGAAGTGGGGTCACCTAATGAGGGCATGGAGACTGTGTGTGTGTGTGTGTGTGTGCACATGTCGGAGGTGGAGAGATCTGCGGAGGAAGAAAAAGGTACGAAATAGTCCCTGGGAGAGAGGGGAAGGCAGCCCACTGGGCAGACGGGCGGTCTTGCCAGGCTGTGTCGGAGGCCAGAGTGCGGTGTGTGATCCCGCCCAGGGATTTCCTGCGAAGCCGGGTCACCTGGTCAGTGGTGCTGGATATGTTCTCGGGCTGAGAGACAACTGGATAATGAGGTCCGGGTCACCAACGTGAACACTGACATCATTAAGGACGATGAGGGAAGTTGGGGATGAGGACAGCAAGATCGGGGTGACAACGAGACCCCACTGGTGGTGGTCTCAGAGTTCCTGTGTGACCCCATCGGAATCCCTGCCCCTGTCTAGCATCGGGTCGTGAAGAAAAGGAGGAAGAATGGCGATCGGGAAAGTATGGTGCAGTACTTACCCCTAAGGATTTCCTAACTGTCTGAACCACAGACTTCTCCGGATGCAGCCATCGGAGATTTTTTTTTAATCCTCAAGGACATTTTTTTTTTTTTTGTATTTATCTTCAGATAGAGAGGGAGGGAGAGAGGGAGAAAGAAACATGGATGTGAGAGAGACACATCAACTGGCTGCCACCCACACGACCCCAACTGGGGCCAGGGACGAACTGCAACCTAGGTAGTGCCCTTAGCGGGAACCGAACCGGGACTCTCTGGTCTGCTGTCTCTATCCGCTGAGCCAAACCGGCCAGGGCAGCAATCAGAGACTTTAAGGGACAAGTGTGTGAGTCGGACAGGAATATGTCCTCAGGTAGAGAGAGGACAGGGTGGCTTTGGGTAAGGTGAATAAGGGACAACATTCTGCCTTCATAGGATCTGGTCACTTCGCTGGAACAGGGAAGACGAGTCGGCTCTGGTTAAAGAAAACGAAACTGTTTCGGTCTTCGAGTCAGCAGCCTCTCTGCTGTCTCCAAGATCTGGGAATGCTGTGGAAATACGTGCAGCTTGGAAGCACTCTGCACGTCCTGAGTGCACGTCCCCAGGCTGGGCTGGGGGTGAGACAAACATCGTACTTACCTCAACTTGCTCCTTTGCCCCGGGACAATGAAGCAGCTGATTCTTTGGGTATGTCACCTTTGTGCCAAAGTTGCCTAACGGATTTCTTTGCTTTTGTCTTGACTCCTAAACAGAATGTTGGCAAGGTGATCACCAAAGGATGCCACTACCTGATCCTCGGCCTGCAGGGCTTTGCAGCGGCCTACTCCGCCCCTTTCGGAGTGGCCACCAGCGTGGTGTCATTTGTCCGCTAGGGGGAGCTGCTGGGGGCCAGACGCCTTCAGAGCGATGGATGGAGGCCTCCATCTGGGCGTCGTGCGAATGCAGAAGCATCTCCGACTTGAAGCCATATAGCACTTGGAAGAAAAAAGTCTTTCTCGCTGAATCAGATGAGTGTTGGGAATGGGACACCTCCGCCCAAATGCTGAGCTTTCCATGTCGCTTGGACACGGGTGGCTCCGCTGGACAATCCCGCAGAGAATTCGGCTCGTGTTAGGTTTGGGATCAGAGTGAAGTCTGCTCACCCTGGACTCTTCTGGGAAGGAGGCAGCCCTTGACCGGTGCGCTCTGGTGGGCAGCACAGTGGTGGGCGGGGGATTTACACCTGGAGGGAGGTCATTTGCTGTGTTGTGCTGGGAAGGTCGCAGGCTCACAGGTGCTCACGGCCCTCAGCACCCAGTTCTGAGGGCACCAGAGGAACAGTTTGCTTATTAAGACATGTCCCCCATCTCCCTCCACCCGTTGTCACCAGGAGTTTAATTACAGGCTTGGGAAGAAGGAAGGAAGAGAAATCTCTTTGAAGACTATGGCACTTTGATACGGTGTTGACAATGTGTCGTGACTGTTTAAAGTAGATAAAAGCTTGTCACTGTCAGAGTGACAGGAATGTGCAGAGGGGTGAGGGGAGGAAGACGGGAAAGTTCAGGAACAGGCTTCGAGGTGGCAAGGTTGGTGAGGCAGAGCTCCTGGGGGCTGATGTGCCCACATGTTGGGGGCCGCCGGGCTCGCCTGCTCACGTGTGGCCGATGTCAGGGACCTCCTGACTCGGTTCCCAGCAGCATCGGCTCAGCCTCTCTGTGCCAAGCCATCGAAGGGAGCTTTGCTTTGGGAGCAAGGGAGATACTACATCTGGAAATGGACGTGCGTGATTTAGAGAAGGAACCAGAACGTGGGAGACTGATATGAAGGAAGTAGAGACGAGGCAAGAAGGGCGTTGGACGAGAAGTGGAGATACAGGACCCAGACCTGGGTTATCAGCTCCGGGAAGGAGTCCGGGGAAGCTTGTCGTGAGCTCACATTGTCTGCCTTGGTAGCTCCCTTTCCTCTGTGCTGCTCACACTGACCACAGCTCACCTGGATTCACAGGTTAGGGTGAGCGTGGTAGGGACACACCCCCAGGATGACCCATTAATTGACTTGCGATCACTGCAACAGGGAGGTAGAAGAAATAGGAGGTTCCTCATCCCAGGCCCTCTGCCAACCCCCACGACTGGCCACTGTCCTGACTTTGTTTCCAGAATCTCCCCAAGTCCAAAACAGTGACTGCTGCTCAGTCTGTAGGGTCAGTGGCAACACCGACTCGTTGCCCCTAGAAGTTTCCAGGCCATGCAAAGGAGGCCTCGGTGCTCTTGTCTCACCAGGGAAGCCCGGTCAGGGGCATTGGGGAGCAGAGAAAGCGGGAGGACAGACAGAAGAAGGAATGGCTGGAGGAGGACGTTGTAGCCGGGAAGCTTCTGGTTCCGGAGGCTCATGGTGAGAGGCACGCGGATCCAGTTCCTGCAGCATTACTATCTGAGAGGAAAAGAGCAAGCCAATGTCCTTGCTTGAGCCCCAAAGATGAACGTTGATAACGGCCCATTTTCACACGTGTACGATAATTAGAGCTTGCCCGGCCACACTGGGCGCTGGGCAGGGGGAGATGTCCAGGGAAGAAAAAGCAAAGCGGAGTTAACTGGGGGAGTGGAGCCTGCTGGTCAGAGGAAGGGGCTCGGGAGGGAGCCTGTGGTGGGCTGGGAGGACGCCCCTCCCCGGGGGCCTAGGGATGCTGAGCACCCCAGAGAAGCCTGCTGAGTCTCTGGGGAAATAGAACCGAGCGCAGGAAGACACAAGAGATGCTGAGGCCCGTGCAATGAGACCTTCCCCACCAGCCCCCGCCCCCTATGTTGGAGAGACCGTCAAGCCAAGAGCATTTGGCTCTGAACTTCTAGAAGTCTGGTTAAGAATTAACCCAGAAATGTCAAAAGTCGAAACCTCACAGAGACTGTCCCAGGAGCCAGGGTGATGGGACGGACGTTGAACCTCGGCCTGTTGCCCAGCCTGAGCAGACATTTACTCCGCCATGGGCCACCCGTGTTGCAGGCAACTTCTTATGCCTTTTCTTTCTCTTTGGTTTCTTTGTCATGTCCGGGGCCACACCCTACTGAGAACGGAGTGTTAGAGCTTTTCTATGTTGGACTTCCAGGCTGCTTTTGTATCCTTTTCTTGCCCAATTGTGTAAATTAAACTCCCAGTTGGTTGAATTTCGTGTGCGTGAAGATTTCTTGCCACGTCGCATTCTAGCCTTGCCTTAGACTCAGAGAGATGCCCGCAGCGCCCAGCCAGGTCTGAGGACTTCAAACAGCAGGTGGGGCAGTCGGGGCTCCATGACACAAGCCAGGGGGGCCCAGTGTAGCTGCGAGGCCCAGGGGCAGGGAGAGAGACCGACTCACCTGGCACTCTGCTTGGCTGTTAAAGGTGGGGCCATTCTCTAGAATTTTCCAGAAGCCCAGATCTGGATTTAGAGATTTTCCACAAGGAGCTTAGAAGACTGAAGGAGCTATTGCTCTCTGTGAACTGGGACACGCGGGCCCCCAGGGACTGCTACTGTTTGCAACTGCCAGGGACCCCAAGGTGGGAGCCTGGGGTCTGGCCTGAGCAGGGCTGAGGGGAGCTGCCAGGTGCCCACTCACTGAGTCCTGCTCAGGGAGCTGGTGCCTCCCACCCTGCAACTCCATCGAGAGACACCAATTAGGATCAGACTTCACCACCTCCGGGACGGGCGTTGCTTTCTTTAAAGGTGTTTCTCGGGTGATGCCGCTTGCATAACCTGTTCACGAGGCTGTAAACCAATGTGTCCGGTTCAGAGCAGACCTAAAATCAGGGCAAAGTACTGACTCACAGAGCCAAGAGCTCACCCTTCCTGACCCGGGCTCTTCCAGTCCACAGGGAGCCACCTCGTCCAGGTTCGCTCCACCCACAGGGAGAGAAACCATTTGTTCTGTGTCCTGTGAGAGGTTTAGAATTGCTGCAGAAGTAGAAAGGGGTGTGATAGCATCTTTTATTTGTTTTTGTTTTTTGCAGGGGACTTAACCATTGGAAAAAACACTATGCATGTTTATCTCTTATTTAACACATATATTTTTTAAATTAATTAATTAATTTTTTTAAATTTTATTTTTGTTACAGATATTTCTCCTTTTTTACCCTCCTCCCCATCGCCCCCACCCTGTCCCTGGCTTTGTTGTCCATGTCCATCAGTTATGCGTACATGCATATAAGTTCTGTGGTTTATCTCTTCCCTCCCCCCACCACCCCCTCTTCTGAGGGTTGTCAGTCTGTACCCTACTTCCACATCTCTGGGTCTACCCTATTTCTCAGACTGTTATGTTCATAATGTTCCACAAATAAGTGAGATCATGTGATATTTGTCTTTTTCTGCTTGGCTTATTTCGCTTAGGATAATACTTTCCAGGTCCCTCTATGTCGTCTCAAAGGATAAGAGATCTTTCTTTTTTACAGCTGCATAGTACTCCATTGGGTATATGTACCACTGCTTTTTTATCCATTCATCTACTGATGGACACTTGAGCTGTTTCCAGATCTTAGATATTGTAAATAGTGCTGCTATGAACAGGGGGTACATATATTCTTTCGGATTGGTGTTTCAGGCTTCTTAGGGTATACTGTATTCCTAGAAGCAGGATCACTGGTTTAAATGGAAGTTCAATTTTTACTTTTTTGAGGTAACACCATATTGTTTTCCATAGTGGCTGCACCAGTCTGCATTCCCACCAGCAGTGTACTAGAGTCCCCTCTTCTCCACACCCTCGCCAACACTTGTTGTTTGATGATTTGTTGATGGCGGCCATTCTGACAGGTGTGAGGTGATACCTCATTGTTGTTTTAATGTGCATCTCTCTGATGATTAGTGATGTTGAGCATTTCTTTATATGTCTCTTAGCCATTTGTATGTCCTGTTTGGAGAGGTGTCGATTCAGCTCCTCTGCCCATTTTTTAATTGGGTTCTTTGTCTTCCTTTTGTTGAGTTGTACGAGTACTCTATATATTTTGGAAATTAACCCCTTATCTGATGTATCATTGGCAATGATGTTCTCCCATACAGTGGGTTGCCTTTCCATTTTGATGGTTGTTTCTTTTGCTGTGCAGAAGCTTTTTGGTTTGATGTAGTTCCATGTGTACATTTTCCCTTTGTTTCTGTTGCCTTAGGTGATGTATCAGTGAAAATTCTGCTACGTATGATATCCAAAATTCTTTGCCTACAGTTTCTTCTAGGATTTTTATGGATTCATGGGTCACATTTAAGTCTTTTATCCATTTTGAGTTTTTTCTTCTGTACACTGTAAGTTGATGGTCTAGTTTCATTTCTTTGAATGTAGCTGTCCAATTTTCCCAACACCATTTATTAAAGAGGCTGTCTTTACTCCATTGTATGCTCTTGCCTCCTTTGTCAAATATTAATTGAGCATAATGTTTTGGGTCCATTTCTGGGTTCTCTGTTCTGTTCCACTGGTCTATATGCCCTTGTGCCAGTACCAGGCTGTTTTGATTACAGTGGCTTGGTAGTATAACCTGAAATCTGGTAATCTGATCCTACCTACTTTGTCCTTCTTTTTCAAAATCGCTGTGGCTATTTGGGGTCTTTTTTGGTTCCATATGAACTTTTGAAGTATTTGTTCTAGTTCTGTGAAATATGTCGTTGGTATTTTGATGGGGATTGCATTGAATCTATAGATTGCTTTGGGTAATATGGACATTTTAATGATGTTAATTCTTCCAATCCATGAGCAAGGTATGTGCTTCCACTTTTTAATATCTTCCTCTATTTCTTTTTTCAATGTCCTGTAGTTTTCTGCAAATAGGTTCTTCACTTCTTTGGTTAAGTTTATTCCTAGGTATCTTAATTTTTTTGTGACAATGGTAAATGGGATTGTTTTTTCAGTTTCTCTTTCTGTGAGTTCATCATTGGTGTATAAGAATGCTATTGATTTCTTGATGTTAATTTTGTATCCTGCTACTTTGCCAATTTCATTTATTAAGTCTAGTAGATTTTTGATGGAGTCTTTAGGGTTTTCTATGTATAGTATCATGTCATCTGCAAATAATGACAGTTTCACTTCCTCCTTTGCAGTTTGGATCCCTTTTATTTTTTCTTCATGTCTGATTGCTGTGGCTAAGACTTCCAGTACTGTTAAATAAGAGTGGCGAATGTGGGCATCCCTGTCTTGGTCCTGTTCTTAAGGGAAATGCTTTTAGTTTCTGCCCATGATGTTGGCTGTAGCTCTTTCATATATGACTTTTATTATGTCGAGAGATGATCCCTCTATTCCCACATTGCTGAGCATTTTTATCAGAAATGGATGCTGGATTTTGTCAAATGCTTTCTCAGCATCTATTGATATGATCATGTGGTTTTATTCTTCATTTTATTTATGTGGTATATCACATTTAATTGTTTTTTCCCTTTGGTTTTCTGATTGGTTGATTTTTTTCTACCCTGTCTTCTAATTCATTGATCCGGTCCTCAGCTTCCTCTACTCCGCTGTTTAGACCTTCCAATGTGTTCTTTATCTCTGATATGTCATTCCTCATTTCTTCTTGGTGGTTTTTAATTTCCAATTGGTTGATTTTCAACATTTCTATGTCTTTACTTATGGCATTTATGTCCTTACTTATACTTTTGAGCTTCCTCAAGATCATGGCTCCAAATTCTAGCTCTATTAACTTGCCTAACTGCTCCACATTTATCTCATCCTCGGTAGAGGTCTCTTGTTCTTTCATTTGGCGTTTGTTTTTTTGTTTCACCATTTTGGCTATCACAGTGGGCTTTGGAGCCTGCCAAATTTTCCCTGTGGGTGTTGGTGTTCTGCTGTTTGTGGCTCCCTCTCTTTAGTTTGGATGAGCCAGGGAGGACCCACGTTAAATACTACTGTCAAGTCTTACTTTCCTGGTTAGAGTTGCTAGCCCAAGAATGGTTCAGTTATCCTCCAGCTTTCTGCCTGGAGGCTATCAGTAGCAGTTATTTGAAGAGCCTTGGTTTCTCAGTTGAATGAAAAACTCGTCAGGTGTTCAGCATAAGGGGATTTCCCGAGGGTGGGGCAGATGCTGGTTGTTAATGAGCCTCAATTTGCATTTCAATGGCCCACCTGGGTGGGGTTGAATCTCTGAGGGAGGGGCCGCCGTCTCTCCCCAGAGCCCTGGGAAGGAGAAAGATGGCCACCGTCCTGCATGGCTGCAACTTAGCAAAAGCTCTGAGCACCCTCCACATCCTGAGTGTCCCCACACAGTTCCAGCCCAGTCCGCCCACCCTCCCTCTGCCGGAGCCCAAGGTGAGTGGCTGTGGCTATTTCAGTGTCTGCCCTGGCTTCATGCTGTGAAACCACTTGGGAGATTAACCTGAGGGTGCTGCTCA